GAAAAATTAACAAAGCCTTCGCTGGGAATCGAACCACGGACCTCGGAATACCACCACACCACGAAGGCACGCCAAGAAGGTCGGAGGAATACCTTATATACTCCCCATTTTTAAAGGGTTTTTAGGGGACCCAATCGCCAAATCCTGGGAGTGGAGAAGCTTCATCCACACCCTTTAGTTTCGGGCGCTACTATAGAGACATTAGGTATTTTGTAAGCAGGAAAGATGAAAAATTAACAAAGCCTTCGCTGGGAATCGAACCACGGACCTCTGGAATACCACCACACCACGAAGGCACGCCAAGAAGGTCGGAGGAATACCTTATATACTCCCATTTTTAAAGGGTTTTTAGGGGACCCAATCGCCAAATCCTGGGAGTGGAGAAGCTTCATCCAACACCCTTTTAGTTCGGGGCGCTACTATAGAGACATTAGGTATTTTGTAAGCAGGAAAGATGAAAAATTAACAAAGCCTTCGCTGGGAATCGAACCACGGACCTCTGGAATACCACACACCACGAAGGCACGCCAAGAAGGTCGGAGGAATACCTTATATACTCCCCATTTTTAAAGGGTTTTAGGGGACCCAATCGCCAAATCCTGGGAGTGGAGAAGCTTCATCCAACACCCTTTTAGTTCGGGCGCTACTATAGAGACATTAGGTATTTTGTAAGCAGGAAAGATGAAAAATTAACAAAGCCTTCGCTGGGAATCGAACCACGGACCTCTGGAATACCACCACCACGAAGGCACGCCAAGAAGGTCGGAGGAATACCTTATATATCCCCCATTTTTAAAGGGTTTTTAGGGGACCCAATCGCCAAATCCTGGGAGTGGAGAAGCTTCATCCAACAACACCCTTTTAGTTCGGGCGCTACTATAGAGACATTAGGTATTTTGGAAGCAGGAAAGATGAAAAATTAACAAAGCCTTCGCTGGGAATCGAACCACGGACCTCTGGAATACCACCACACCACGAAGGCACGCGCCAAGAAGGTCGGAGGAATACCTTATATACTCCCCATTTTTAAAGGGTTTTTAGGGGACCCAATCGCCAAAATCCTGGGAGTGGAGAAGCTTCATCCAACACCCTTTTAGTTCGGGCGCTACTATAGAGACATTAGGTATTTTGTAAGCAGGAAAGATGAAAAATTAACAAAGCCTTCGCTGGGAATCGAACCACGGACCTCTGGAATACCACCACACCACGAAGGCACGCCAAGAAGGTCGGAGGAATACCTTATATACTCCCCATTTTTAAAGGGTTTTTAGGGGACCCAATCGCCAAATCCTGGGAGTGGAGAAGCTTCATCCAACACCCTTTTAGTTCGGGCGCTACTATAGAGACATTAGGTATTTTGTAAGCAGGAAAGATGAAAAATTAACAAAGCCTTCGCTGGGAATCGAACCACGGACCTCTGGAATACCACCACCCACCACGAAGGCACGCCAAGAAGGTCGGAGGAATACCTTATATACTCCCCATTTTTAAAGGGTTTTTAGGGGACCCAATCGCCAAATCCTGGGAGTGGAGAAGCTTCATCCAACACCCTTTAGTTCGGCGGGCGCTACTATAGAGACATTAGGTATTTTGTAAGCAGGAAAGAAAGATGAAAAATTAACAAAGCCTTTCGCTGGGAATCGAACCACGGACCTCTGGAATACCACCACCACACCACGAAGGCACGCAAGAAGGTCGGAGGAATACCTTATATACTCCCCATTTTTAAAGGGTTTTTAGGGGACCCAATCGCCAAATCCTGGGAGTGGAGAAGCTTCATCCAACACCCTTTTAGTTCGGGCGCTACTATAGAGACATTAGGTATTTTGGAAGCAGGAAAGATGAAAAATTAACAAAGCCTTCGCTGGGAATCGAACCACGGACCTCTGGAATACCGGCCCAGAGTGCAGACCACCACACCACGAAGGCTCGCGAAGAAGGTGAAAGAAATGTCTTATAACCTAAAACTCAAAATACAGTTAAAAGCAGTTTAAAAACTCCCCCCCCCAGTTAAAATTAGAGTTTCTACGCAAAAACCAGCAATTCGACCAGCGGGCAGGAAGACAAATTTTTCGCTTCACAAAACGTATAAACGTAAATACCTTAATGGGAACATAAGAATAATTCGGTCGTATTTAAAGCAAATTATGCGTAATTTATCAACATATAAGAATAAAAAAAACTTATAAAACAACATATAAAAAGCTCGTCGAGATGAGTAACAGAGTGGGTATGCATATATGTATAAATAATTTGATATATGATTGGTGCAGCCGAAGAAATCTCTTCTGAATCTTTCGAAGAATCCATTTTGGGATTGTCCATCCATGTCCTTTATTCTGTCCTTCTGAATCCATTTTGGAATTGCCCATCCATGTCCTTTATTCTGAATCCATTTTGGGATTGTCCATCCATGCACTTAATTCTATCCGTACGTAAAGATATCACGCAGAAACATCGTTAAATTGGACTGGAGAGCGGTGAAATTAGCTAATTTATTGAAATATGGTACCCGAAAGTTTTTGGCAAGTCATATAAATGCTCAGCTTATTAGCACCTATAATGCCTTCTCTTTAATATACAGCTACTAGCGGAAGTACCCGATGCCAGTTACGTTAGATTGAGAGTAATGTATCTAACAACAGAGATAATGATACCGCTGTAATCCTTCTCTAATAACGATACAAAAATTACGATTCATTTGTTGTACACTTTTCAGTCTCGTGCGATATGGAACCCACATAAAAAATAAACTTCTTCTCTGTCATTATATCAGCAACGATGGCAGTAGCAACACTTTTCGAAATACAGTATTTTTATCTCCGAGGCTCCCGACTGTTGCCACTCAGAAAATGAGTGCGAAAATGAGCGCTTTCAGATGTTTTGATTAATATTTTGGCCGATTACAGTCGGACGAAGATGAGAATAGTCGAAACGGCGTCCCACGAATTTTTGGAATCGGGAATAATGTATTTAATGTTTCGCAATGCTACTTTTATATCATCGTAAATCTTAGAAATTTTGTTATTAACAAACTCTGCGATTTCAAAGCGAGCAGTGGCAACGCTTCTCGAAATAAGGCAGATTTTTATCTCCAGCGTGCGAGACTGTTGTCACTCGGAAAAAATGATTGAGAAAATTAGCCTTTTCTGAGTTTTTGATTAATATCTCTGATTTTAGCGCTTTTTTTCTTTTTTTTTGGGGGGGGGAGTGGACGTCGACCTTTTCCAGAACCCAGAATAGAGTTGTAGAAAGTTTGGTGAGGATAGGATAGCTATAGTAGTGACCGAGTTAATCGCGAACAAACAAACACGCAGGCATCCTTCTTTAAAGGGTCATCCCATTATACAATTTCTTCAATGTTTCGTGAATCGTATCTATGTCATGCTGTTCTATTTACACGATTTTCTTATGTATCGTATCTTCATGTTATCATCATGTTTACACCATTTCGTAATTACGCATTGTCATCGTATTCGTAAATTACACATATCATTGCGTGATTGTATTAAGTAAAATTCCGTGTATTTCAAGTTAAAATATATATTACCTTTAAAAAATTTAATCTTAACTTTACACGTTTCCTTGTAATAGGATAAATCTAATATATCTGTATTTACTGCCCCCATAAAAAAATTAGACTGATTAGAACACGCAAACTTTCTAGAATTCCGATTGATTTTAACGAAGCGTAATTATGACTTCTATGTTGTTGTTCTTTTATTTATTTATTACGTGCTCCGCCTTAGATACTTCACGGGAAAGGAAGGATGCTCCGTGGAGTTCTTTTTAAGGGAAACTGTCTCGTATCCACGTTACACGTGGGGGAAAGCAGGAAAACCCCCACGCAGCCAGCCCGTTCGGCGGAACTCGAACCCCAGTCCGAACTACCAGTGTTCAGCGGCTTTTACCGCTCGGCCGCTGGTGGGCCTTCTGTTTTGTTAAACTGGTATAAAGCTGCAATGAAGTATAATTATAACTTCTGAGGTGTAAAATAAAACAGGAATTTACTAATAGTTAATTTTGATTTACTAATATTTAATTTTTATTACTTTATTTTACTAATAGTTAATTTTGATTACTTTATTTTACTAATAGTTAATTTTGATTTTAAGGTACATTTACTTTCCTTCCTCATTTTCCTGCCTATGCTTTCCTACCAGAATGGCAGCAAAGGCAGGAAGGAAAATAAGCATAGGCAGGAAAAGGAAGAAGGGAAAGAAAGATACCTTAAAATAAAAATAACTATTAGTAAAATAAAGTAAAACCCTTCACATTCCTATTTTATTTTACAAAGCTTCTCTACCAGGATGAATTTTCAGTTTCATGCTTTATGCGAAATAGGGTAGAAACTACTATTCAGGCTGAGGTTTGAGGTACTTCAGTTAGAGAGCGAGAAAGAGAACGTGTTCTGCCTTTCGGCCACGTTGTTGCTACTCTTTTACGTTAGTTACGTTAGTTAGAGCTTACTATTTTATGGCCTCGCTTATTTACGTGCCTTGTAGTCTACGCCGGCCGGGGATTGTTTAAATACGAGCGAACTAGGTAACGACCTTAGGCTGTTTAATTTATCAAGCTTTAGTTTGATTTTGCATTTTTTACTTTAAGTTTGTAAGGATTATGTTAATTTTATTAACAGTTAAATTTTGAGTTAAAGTTCCTTTCCTGTCAATTCTTAACTTCAACTTACTACTTCCGGCCAGAACGTAGTTTTAGAATCACGGCTGAATACATAATGAGGAAAAGCGGTATTTAACCGCGAAATTCTTTGATCTTAGAGAGAGAGATATATCAGATATACTGGCTACACGCGTACGCCTTTTTAGGCTACTCTTTTAGTTTTGCAAAGAGAAATTTATAGATTTTATTAAAAAATTTTCATTCTTAAATATTATTTTTTATTAATGAATAAAGCAATATTTCACTGAAACTCCTAAGTATACGAACACTTTTGGGAGTCGCTGTATATATGATGTCATAATTTTGCTGTTCTTTTGCAGAGATCGAAATGTTGAACTCCTGGCAGCTCTTGAAACATCCTGCACGATGAGTGTTGCAATGGAAAGACATATTCAGCAAACCAATGAAAGATTGCAGTGCATAAGAGAGGTATGTGGCAAAATATCTATAACTCAGATTTAAATTTCAGTTATACGTTATTGGTATGGATGCTTGTCACCAGAGTGCTTATGAGAATTTTAAGCTGCCTAAACAATTTTGAAAATTACTATATATCTAATTTTTTAAGAATTATCTTGGAAATCCAAGAGCTTCGTGCGAAAATTATGTTGCCCATGCAATCCCTTGTAATATGTTGATGCAGCTCTTTATCTACTATGTATTTAATTATGAACTCATTTATAACTATAAAGTTATTTATATTGTTTATATATATATATAATTTTTTAAAAATTATATCTTGTATATAACTTTTAAAAAAAAACATATAGTTTTTATATTTAAAAATATATAAAACTATATATTTTTTAAAGTTTTAACTAAAAATTTTTTTTTTTTTTTTTTTTTTTTTTTTTTTTTTTTTTTTTTATGATATGGTTAGGTCAGTCATTTTTAATCGCGGGCAAAAAGGTAAATTTATAGGTCTGTCTGGGTAAAAATCGTTAAATTTGGCGAATGTTTTGCGGCCGGGGATTTAATGATGTTTCAAGGAAAAAAAAATATTTAACAAATGTAAAGAAGTAATATAAATATTTTCCCCCAATGATGGGGAAAACATATGCCTGTAATACTTGCCTATAACAGCACTGGCCATTATTAAGGCCAGAAATGGTGAGGTGACCGTTTAATTGTGAAGGCAACTAATAGGCCACGACCGTTACTTCCTATGAAGGGACAGACAATTTTACATCGTCTGGTATTCGAACCCGGGCCTTTTCGTATCGCAGTCAGACCCCCCTAAATACTATACCGTCTGGGCGGCTAGTAGTATAAATATGCTAGCTCATAAAAAACGAGCATTATGGTATACATTTCAAAAGTTAAGGTTTATATTTCCTTGAGACCATTCCAAACTTAACGAACCTGCAAAACCATTGTTTCTTGGGAAAATGTGCTTAAATAATTGGCAGCTACGTACTTTGAGGAAAATCGTGTAGGAATAAGAAAAGTGAGCTCACCGAACCGGGCAACAGAATGGGTATGTATATATTTAGATAATTCTGGTGCACCCGATTATAACTAAAAAGGGAGGTGCACAACTATATGCTGTAGCAGTCCCACATACAAAATTCCAAAGTTCTGAGGCTACTCGTTTTTGAGTTATGCGAGATAGATACGTACGTACGTACAGACGTCAAGGGGAAAAAAATCTCTTCTGAATCCATATTACAATCTGTTTTGGGAAGAAGAGGTCCGTACGTACTGATGGCACGCAAAAACATCGTTCAAATGGATTCGAGAGCGGTCAAAATGGATATTTCCGAAAATTTTAGCTATTACAATACTTCCTATACTTTATAAGGTATTTTCTCCCTCCTATCTGCAGGCCCTCGGGGTGCAACGGTAGCACACTCAAGGCGTAATCGAGAAGTCCAGGTTCGAGACCTGGCACCATCCCTCTACCATTACGGTTAATCGGTTCTGCCCACGTCCGCCCTTATCTAGTATTTATTAATAAATAAAAGATTTTTACATTGCCATATAGTGCGCCATATTAAAAAAATAAATAAAAATAAAAATCTTAAAGTAGTACTTTAGAATCCTTCATGAAGTGTATGTTTGTAAGTAATTCTTTACAAAATGTTGAAATTTGTCTTTAGTAAAAAACGTTTGAAACTTATTCCTTCGTTCTTCTTCAAGAAGTTCTCTTTCGTCCTTCTCTTTCATATAATCTTCGTTAAATGTTCCTTTCTTCTATCTTAATTTCTTTCCTCCAATAAAAATATATTTTCTTCCTATATATCCTTTAAAGGCGAAGTATCTAAGGTACAGAAAGAGGCGCAGCCCCCCATCCACCTAATCGATTTGATTTGATGACTTTTCCAGGGAGGCGCCAAGTTAAAAACCACATAATAAAATACGCCCATTAGGATATAACCTAATGGACCTTAACGGCACAATAATAATTAAAATAAATAGAATCAATGGTTAGAAACTAACTAAACAAAAGGACAAAACACAAGACACAGACCATGCTCTATTATAAAAACACTAAACACATGTTAAATCAAAATTATATATATATATTAATCCAAGTATATAAGGTATTTCCTCCATCCTTTCTGCATAACTTGGTGGCGTAACGGTTAGCACACTCGCCACGTATTGGAAAGGTCCAGGTTCGAGGCCCGGCGAGGGCTCTACACACTTTTCACATCTGAGAGAATGTATATAAACAGTAGTTTTTTCCGACGTACCAAATACGCATACAGAAGTCATATTATTATACCAAGTCATTTGAACTGTAAACTAATAATTTTATAGAAATTGTATTAAAGGTATTAAGAATAATTCCTCGACTTACATTAGGATCGAACTGCGACGAGACCTGTGGATTTAAATAATGATACATTAAATGAAAATCGTAAAAGCAACCTTGTATTTAGCGTAAGTATATTGAAATACTCAATCGATTTCGAGGGCAGCTAAAGGTCCCTCCTCATCAGGAGAAAGAAGAAAAATAAAATAAAGGGGTCAGAAACACGTGGTCCTTATCAGCACTGCACGTGGTTATAACCGGATTTTTAATCAGAGTTACACTGGCCGCCGAAATCGATTGAGTGTTTCAATATACTTACGCTAAATACGATTTTGATTCTCACATTAGCGTGTTTCTCTTTTTGTAAACGGTTGCTACGGATTTCTTTTAAAATACATCTTAGCATTTCTCTGTCAAGTCCTTATACACTCACTGGTGGGTAAGGATGGATGAGAGTAGCAGGGATAGCAACCATAAAATTGAAGGTAGGAAAATGTGGAAATTAGCAGAAGTGCGGGATACGGTAAGACGTATTGTGCGTATGCAAATTTTGGGTTGCCGAAGTTATTAGCCACGTGATGCGTTGATAAAAGAGATAGAGGATTTGACGCGTATTGACCTTTGTTGTTCCAAAGAAAAATTTAATGGGGAAGAATCAACTGGCTAACTTGCAATTTTCGGTGTGTCTTCTCGACATCACTTAGATGATTTTACGCGTGGTCCTGTTATTGGAAACACTGAAGAAGAACCAAAAATAACAAGTATTGCTAGGGGGTTCGATGTCAGCCACAATGCTGTTTCAAGACTCTCGAAATCATTTCAAACAAATGGCATGTGTATAAAACGTCACGGGGTAGGTCGTGTTTGCAGCACGACGCCTGCAGAAGACAGGCACATAGTGGTATCGACAAAAGGAATCGACGCAGTTCAGTTATTGAGGTAACAAATCAGTTACTTGCTGCTGCTGGCAAGCGAATCTCCCGAAAAACTGTAGCTAAGTCATTTGCACCAAGAAGGACTATACGCCCGCCGCCCTCTTTCGTGCATTCCATTGTCCAAATAGCAGCGTACCGTCCGTTTGCAATGGTATCGCGAGCACGACAGTTGGACTCAACAGAACGCGACTTGTGTATCATTAGATGAGAGTAGATTCTGCCTGTTACCGGATTTTAGACGCCAACTGATGTGGCGTGAGAGTGGTACTGCTTATGGTCTAGAGTGGTACTGCTTATGGTCCAAGAAAGGGCCGGTGTCCTAGGTGCAGTATCATGCCATGTGCCGTCAATAGAGCCGCATGCCCCTATATGTGATTGCAGCTTTGACTATTACTAGCTAACGATACGTTAATGATGTTCTGCTGCCTCACAATCGCATGTTCCGTGGGGATGTCGGTGATTAATTTGTTTTCGGTGAGCGACAACACAACGTGTCCTCAAACATTCGTTTTCCAGGAGTGTCTTGAGAGCGAGGATATTCAACGCCTCGTGTGGCCAGCACGTTCTCCAGATCTGAATCCCACTGAAAGTCTGTGGGATGCTTTGGGGAGGAGTCTTGCTGTTCGACAGTGCCCTCCAGTAAACAAGGACACTCTCGTCCGAGCACCGACAGAGGAATGGCATAAATTACCCCAACAGCTGTTGGATAATGTTGTGCAAGGTATGACACGACGTGAGGAATCGTACATCACTGTCCATGGTGATCATATTCCAAACTGACATCTTACGCCAGAATACCTGCAGACGGTAACTGCATTTTTCGCTTTTACATATTCAGCATAATATGTCCATTTTGTCTCTTGAACACTTTCCAAAGCCTTCTGGCATAAGTAGCCATAAGCTTCTAGTCATAAATTATTTTTATTGTTAAATTTTATATGGGCATTATTTTACTTCACTTGGTATGAAAACACACTTTTTAACACGCTATATAGCCATTTATGATCCGTTCTTAGCAATTGTCCACCAGTATATTTCAGCGTTCAGCTGGCACTCTATTTGCATATAGTACAGTAATGAAATATTTATTTTACAGTAACGCGTGTTTTTATGTAGTTGGTGACAGTTTACAGGTAGTACGAATTGCTGCAACAAATGTATTACCATTCTTTTTTTTTATTAAGGTTGATTTTTTGTTGGGAACTCAATTTTTTTCTCCTACGTTTTTATAATTCTGCGCTTCGAATTTCTCTTTAAATAAATTTACTTTCTTCAAGAAACCGTTTCATGGCGATCCCACCAATAAACATTTGTCGATTGCTATGTTCTAACGTATCGAATCTGAAGAAGGAATGTGTTCGAGACATAATATAAATATCGCTCTGCCCCTTAAAGTGTAGTGGATTGCGCTTTGCTCCCTCGTTTTGCTTTTTCTTCCATGCCTGCTTTGCAGAAAACTCTCTGCAACTGAATTTTTCAGTTTCTCTATGATATTGAAGTTGGGTAATGGAAAAGAAAATTGATCAACAGTAAATCCCTTCCTTTCTGCCTCATTCGAATAGCTAGACAGTTATGGGTTTGCGTCAGAGTGTATTTTTTAAACCTGCTGCCATATACCTGCAACCGTGTTTTCACTTACGTTGATGGCAGTTCTTGCCTAGAGCTAAATTTGCATTTTGTTACCCTTTTTCTTCGTCTCCGGATTGACTGGAGAAATAGATCCTTCTCCTACTTTT